GTTTATAAAGCAAAATTGTGACTCCTTAGCTGATAGTGTGGCTCAAGATGGGGTCAAATTTCATTTTATACCTGCTTACTCGCCAAATTTTGCTGGTCTCTGAGAGGCGGGAGTAAAGTCGACTAAACGCCATTTAGTCCGAGTGTTGGGCAATTGTAATTTGTCATACGAGGAATTGAACTCGACTCTAGTTCAGATTGAAGGTATATTAAATTCACGACCACTCACTCCTCTTTCGTTGAATTCTGAAGACCTTTTGCCTCTCACTCCTGGGCACTTTTTAATTGGAAGATCTCTTACGTCTCTGCCAGTCAAGGATCTTCGTGATCAGTCGATTCACAGTCTGACACGCCACCAACGCATCGAGCAATTAGGGCAACACTTTTGGGCGAGGTTGAGCAAAGAATACGTCTCCGAGCTTCAGCAGCGAGTGAAATGGCATACCAGCAAGGACTCGTTGCAAATTGGCTCCCTCGTCATTATAAAGGACGACAATTTGCCGCCACTTAAGTGGAAGATGGGGCGGATCGTTACTCTTCATCCAGGCAGCGACAACATAAGCAGAGTTGCTGACATCCGTACAGCGAATGGAGTGGTCAGGCGAGCTGCATCGAAGATTTGCCGTCTATTAGAAACTCCGGTTGAAAGGCAAGCTTTCAACGGCTGGGGGCATGTTGAGGCGTCATTGCAAGTGTGAGCGCCTACATTATAGTTATGAGCAATCTATCTATCATAAAAATCTATATCGTGTAACATGGTTTTTTCGTGCGTGTCTTAGGGTCCAAAATTATTGTCAGCTATATTGCTATATAGCTATTATTGTTAACTTACTTGAATTATAACAGCCTTGGTGAACAGTCAATTAGAACTTTTATTTTATAAAAATTACCTGAAGTCCTCTCGGCCCTGTACACAAGGATTAAAAAAAATGTGCACACAAATAAACATAATTTATTACACATTATCTTAAACGAACCAAGGGCCTAAAACTAATCATTATCAACAGCCTTTAATAGTCCACTGCTGGACATAAGCCTCTCCTTAGAAAGGAGGTTTTGGCCTACTATACCACGCTGGCCAGACGGGTTGGTATTGGGTTTGTGTCAAGTTTTCCTTCTCTCTGCAGTGCTGTTGTCCTGCGTAGTTTTTTCCCTTAGTCGTAGTTTTTTTCCTAAAACTAATAACAAAATAATATCTTATTCACTAAATTTTCTTCGTTTCAGACGGCTCCTTTTCGATTTCCCAAAACCTTTTAAGTAAGTCGTCTGCCTGGAGAGACGAATGCATCACAGTAATGTGGGAATAAACATTGGATGTATTATCCGAAACGCCCGACACTATACAGCCTAAGGCGGTATCCTGTGCTATTAGAGTGCCGTTCACGCTTATTTCAATGCCCGTCTGCATGACTTGACTGTAGACCTCAGCACCTGACAAAATATGTATTTTGTTAGGCCAGTAGTACTCCGGGTCAGCCAAGTCATCCTCAGCCAAGTCTACCCATTCTACCCTGGTTACTTTTGTAACCGGGAGAAGAGCTGTGACTAACTTTAAAACATAGGCATTGACCCTTATTAGCACGTTAGGATCTTTTCTAGACCTAACTGATCAGTGTGTTTAGAGGTCACACTTTTGTCTCTACCTACACCTAATACGATGTTATTTGCCGCAACCTTATTAAGTTCCAAATACTGGACCATTGATTCTGTAATAAACGAACCTTGGGATCCTTCATCTAGTAGTGCCCTAATTAACCGATGAGTTCCATCCTTCGATTCAGCTTTTACAACAGCTGTGGTTAACAATATCGTTTTTTACCTTTCCCTGTAGACAGACACGAAACTAACGGCTTGCTAATAGCTCCCTCCGCATACGCGGCTAATTCTTTACCCTTTTCCTGGTTCATATTTTGTAATGATCAGAATTATGGAACTCCGACTTCTTAACACTGGATATAATTTGATTGTGATTGGCACAAAACAATGACCATTGTTTATCAAGATTCTCCAATCTAATTTCCAAGTGGGAAACTCTCAAACGTTCCTTTGGGGATTTTTTAAAATTAGGTCTAGCCTTTACAATCTTATCTTTGATCTCCTCTTGTAAACAATTAAAGGACTCCATTTTAACACCAACAAACAATGCTAAATGTTACAAAATACAAATACAGAAAATTATTCAGTCCCAAAATTTAATATCAAAAATTTTCTAAGTGTTTTAACCTGGTTCTAGTGTGACTGAAATTGGGCGTAGGTTACCCGTCCCAACAGGTTTTTGCTTAAACTAACACAAGTCTTACACACTACCAAATTATTTCTAAGTTAATAATGTCTCTAAATAAAGGCGAAAATGTACTCACAGTTTTTTGTTCAATGACACTTGACAGCAACATACATACCAACATCACGCACTATTTGTTGTTAATCTTTTAGCGCCCTCTCTCTTTCGCCCTCGATCTCTGCTTAGCACCTCCGCGCGTTGTTCCTCCTTCAATGTTCGGATCGGCACCAGCAGCTCCAAAGCTTCGGTTCCTCCTTCAACACCAGACTCGATGTCCAAGCTGAGGCCCTCAGAATGAGGGGCTTGCTCTGGTCAACAATCCGCTGACCACACATTACACTTTTTTTTTTCTGCGTCCGAGTTAACTCTGTTCGTTATCCGACGCCCGATTGCTCTCGGATGGCCTGTTTACACGATACAAGTAGCATCCGAGAGCACTCTGTCCAAGGTCACTCGTGCCGTGTGAAACGTGGCTTACGAGTCAAGCAAAATCTTCATGACCTTCTGACTGATGACTTAAAGAACTTGAAATGTGCTAAATCACTTCATTGGAATATAATTCATAGAGAAAAACTTAAGACAAGTTTTGAATATTCATTGCATCACTAAAAGGTGTTTTCTATGGGTACCTATTGTTTTTAAATTAGATATAGAATATTTATAAGACGATGTCGGCCTATCGCCAGTAACAGTACAGAGGTGATATAAAGCGGTGTACAATACAGCATAGGTCCTGTACAAGTGACATAACAGATTTCTTAGGCTCGATAAAAACCAGTGAACAATATAATAAATAGTGGTCCCCTCTGAAGCTGTTTTACGTACTTCTAACTCCTTAAGGAACTATTCAGGTACTAATAATTTCTACAATACTGTGCCAGAATTATGTTTTCAAAAAGCACTTCAAAATGGAGGTGGTTATCAATTCGTATGTTTATATATTTGTACGAGTATATAGATCTCATGATGAATTTCGGTAACATACTACGGAACTCTTCAAACAATGACAGCAAACCAACCGCTATTGCTGCTAGGTATTTAGTGCTCTTTGTTAGTATTGTTTGAAGTCGGTTCTACTTCTTTTTAAAAAGGATTTATAATATTGTATAGGTGCAAAGTCACAAACGGGATGAATGGAAACAACTACCTATGGATACCTAAAGCGCCCTTTGAGTCCTGTCCCCCAAGAATCATGGGGAGAAGTTGTTTGGGCTCCGGTAACCTCGTCGAACCTAGGTGAAAAATAACGAATGCATTCCTTAACACCGGTTTACTGTTAAGCTGTGTGTCACGCCGGTCGCGCCAGCCTATAGCTCTCCCACAGTTACACTTACGTTTCCAAGATAATCAGATTTTTCATCTCCGATCTCCAATTTCAGATCCAGTTCTATTGCTCTAAAGTGTGTTTTTTTTAAAAGCATACTTAAACAAATGATTGTGATCATAAAAATCATTCATAAAAAAATGAAATGAAAAAACAAAAATCATTGAGGCTCACATCTTATAATAAACCAGGAAAAGGAATCGACTAGATAGGTGTCTACACTACAACTTATGATTACATTAAATTCAAGTTTGTGTAAAAAGAAAAGAAATTTAAAAATAAATTTGTTTATGAAAAGAGCGTACTCCTTCCTAAAATACCAGTTTGTGACTCCTAAGTTTCAGACGTTCATGGGTGGCGATGGTCACTTTCCATCAGGTGACCCGTCTGCTCGTCTGCCCCCCTAAGTACAAAAGCATAGGATCTTCATAAATCGCCTTTGGACATCCTCAATATTGTCTATGTATTCATTACTAGCTGACCCGCGCAACTTCGACTGCGTCTCTCAATAGTAATAAATTTTCTCCGTTTTTGAAACTTTCTTCATTGGTGCTCCGCTCCTATTGGTCTTAGCTTGATGATATATAGATATATAGCCTATAGCCTTCCTCGATAAATGGGCTAACTAACACTGAAAAAAATTTTCAAATCGGACCAGTAGTTTCTGAAATTAGCGCGTTCAAACAAACAAACAAACAAACAAACAAACTCTTCAGCTTAAAATATTAGTATAGATATCTTGGATTCCATATCTACGACGCGTATTCAAAAGATGGCTTCTAACATACATACAGTATAATTTTTTGAATGGTTTTGCTTGTTTGAAACACCTCGAAACACTCACCACAAAAACAAGCGCTTAGGAAGCTCTTGAGACTATTTACTCAATCATCATCAACATCATCATGAACAGCCTTTAATGGTAAACTGCTAGACATAGGCCTCTCCTCAGAAAGGAGCTTTTGACGCCGCTAGCTAGACGAGTCAGTATAGGGTTTGTTTCAAGTGTTCTTTCGAGAGAATACGGAATGTTACCACCCCTCTTCATCCCGTAGGTGTCGTAAGAGCCGACTAAGGTAACAAACTACGCTGGGCAACAGTTCTGCAAAGAGAAGGAAATTTGACCCAAACCTTATATTAACCCGTATGGCCAGCGTAGTATAGGTGGCCAAAACCTTCTTTCTAAGAAGATGAAATAACACTGAACCACAAAGCCTAATTAAAGATTTCGTGATTATGACTCCCTCTGAATTTTGTGATTATGTTGGTTGCTCTAAAGAACTAATAGCAGCGAATTTACCTTGGACAGTAATTGTGCTACAGCTACAGCGAAGTGTGGCAGGGTACAGCTAGTGTAAAATAATTGCTACAAAAACGTATTTCTTCTTTTCTAGACATGGATAGAATACATAAACTCGAGCGAGACGTCCTCGGCCGACAAAAGTATATGAATGCGGTGATAGAAGAAGGAAACTCTCCTATACAACAATTCTTCTCTGGCGCTACCATCTTTATTACTGGAGGAGGTGGTTTCCTTGGCAAGCAGTTTATAGAGAAGCTACTCAGGTAAGAAGACCTTCTGATATTCATGATCGTATCACATGGCTACTAGCCGAAACGCGCTCAAACTTAGTCTTAAACTACTAGGTATTGGTCTTGCTAAAACTACTAGGTACTATAATTTTTACTATACTTAAATGCTTTTCTACACTTAAAAAAATTAAACCATTTGTTTTGAACTAAAAGCTAAGTGATTTTTTTTTTTATATGAAAAGAATTGTGTACGAAAAACCGAAGCATTCCACAACGGTTCTGCATATGAATAGTAGACATTTGAATTTTTATGGACTGCAGCCGCAATTTCAATCTTAAATTTTCTCAGAACCTTAGAAAATAATAATAATGTGTACACTGTAGTACAAATGTTACTAATTGTTACTAGTGACTATTATTGGCTTGGTATGTATGTGTGTAACGGAATCTTCGAACGAGATTTAGACCCTGGGATTTAGGCCGATTATCCTGATCAGGATCTTCAGGATTAACGATTTTTTCCATAACTAAAAATATGGTGGTGTCTTTTGCTGCGCACTGAGAGCCGTGTGCTGAAGCATATATAACTTACTTACTTGTTACTTTGTTAATCTTAATGACAAAGTAATCATTATTACTGACTAAAAAAGCAGAAATAAATTAAAGTTAAAAGAAAACCTGAAAAGCACGTCGTTGTAACTAGCTGAACTAAAAAGTTTTTTTATACACTCGTAAGTTTAAAAAGAAAAATCATTTCATCGTGAACAAGCATTATTGTGTTTAAACTATTAATAATTTTTAATTTATTTGTTTATTGCCAGAGCATGTAAAATAAAGAAAATATATGTATTATTGAGGCCGAAGAAAGGTAAATCAATACAAGAGAGGCTGCAGTTTATGTTGAAGGATCCTGTGAGTATAAATATAAATTTATTACAAATAAAATATTGCTGTATATACAGTAATTGGGGGTAACCAAATGACACAACCGGTACGTAAAGCTCGTATATCATTACCCCATGTACCCTACATGGTTACTCACTAACATTCCTACACCTATATTTAAAAAAAAACTGTCGATAGTCTACGGTAGTTCTTTGCCGACTTGATCGGCTACTCTCTTCACCTAGGAGAATCTCATATCTACACTTGTATATATATGTATGTTTATCTCTGCGTATTTATGATGTGTAAGTGTAGTATGTGTGTATATGTTTATATATGTAGTGAACCGTATATATTTTCATTGTACATTTGATATTATGATGTAACCTCTGTGCACCTACCTTACAAGATTTCTACATCACCCAAAGGTTGACTGGAAGAGAATGCCCTGGGTATTAAGTCCACCGATGTACAAAAGGGCATAAAGAAAAATAAAAATAAAATATAAAATAAATCTCAGGTACAGTTAACTTCTTCTCTTCAACAGCATTAGGTTCTCCATCGCTGGGAGTACCCATGCCGATGTCCCCTGGAGATTGTGCGGGTCTAGTATTTTTGTCGCGTTCTTGAGACAGCCCTCTTCCATCCATTGACTTCTCCGCTAGAGCCGATACGACAAGACGAACGCGGGAAGTACCTCGCTCTCTTCTCTCTATTTTAACCACAAAAGCACATATATCACCGCTATACGTGTATTTAATCACATTCCCGTAAACATGAAAAAAATAAACGGAAATATATTTAGAAATAGTTTAAAAAACTGGTTAACAAACAATGTGTTCTATAGCCTGAGAGAATTCTTTGATGTTAAAATAGTATAGCTGTATCATTTAATTATGTATTCAATTTGATTTCACATAAATTGCAACTCCTGAACTGGGTAACTGATGAGCCTGATACCAATACGTAAAAACACCCTTATTTGTACACAGTTTTTATGCAATAAATATATGTCTATGTCTATGTCAACCGATAATTCCGAGCGATGACTATAATAACTTTGTATCTTAGGATCAAATACTTTATGTGGCCAACCGTTTAAAATATATTTGAGAACCGTTGACAGGGTACTATCTGCATAATAGCCCTCTTTTACATCTGAAAATGATAAAAATCTTTCACCTTCGTAAACAAACCACACGTACGTGCGTCGATCTATCTAATAATGAGTCATCGCACACCTGTGGCGAAATATTGTCGTTACGCGGCGATTCGCTCAATGCCGGACGAATAGCTCGACTCAAGTAATCTGCGCAATCATGACTACTGCTCACATATTCAATTTTATAATTATACGCTGATAGAAAAATCGCATAGTGCTGAGGACGATTTGCAGATATTTCTGGTATACCCTTATCAGGATTAAATATTGATATTAAAGGTTTATAATCATAGTTCGACCATACAAATATGGATAAACTTTTTTATACCGAAAATAATAGCAGTAGCCTCTTTTTGAATCTGGCTATAACGTTTTTCTGCTGCATTAAGGGATCGAGACATAACCCGGGACCCGCGGCCCCGTCGGCGACCATACCAGCCGCCGACGGGGCCGCGGGCCGCCAGAGAGTGGGGACCTCTGGTCGCTGATTGAATGTTGCGGTAGGGGATAGGATGGCGGCCTGATTGCATTAAGACGAAATTGGGCCGCCACGTCGCGATTGAGGGGGGAAGTGATATTCCCCTGGGATAGGGCCTGACTAGGCATGGTGTCAATTCGGGGAGGACCTGAAATAACATGGTCCGGGTCCTCCCAGAGTAGGGCACCTGAGGCCGGCCGTCGGGGTGGTTTTTAGTGGAATGACCACATACTCCTAGCTCCTAGCCCCGAGGAGCAGGAGATCCGAAGGGATTTTCCACCCCGTCAACAAAAAACAAAAAAAAAAAAAACCCTTTACAATTAAGTGGGCATTTAGATTAAAGTGAGCTAATGTTGTATCTACCAATTCACCTTTTATGTGCGACACAGCCTTCTCGTGTTCCTTGCTCCAGAACCATTTTACATTTTTTTTGTAACAATTTATGCAGAGGGCTTATGCCTAGAAATGATGTTAATTCCGATACATTTGTAGGAACACGCGACTGCATAATTGCTTTGACTTTTGCCGGTCATTTTTGGATACCATTACGATCAATCACCACTCCCAAATAAGCAACCGATTCTTGAAAAAATGAACATTTGTCTGATTTTAATACAACACCAGAATCCTGTAGTCTACTAAAAACTTTTTGTAACCTACTTAACATTTGGTTTTCGTCTACCCCCCAAATTAAAATGTCATCAAGGAATTGGAGGGTACCATCCAATCCTGTAAGTACCGATTCTATTGTTCTCTGAAAAATAGCGGGTGCACTTGCTAAACCAAATACTAGTCTTGTGAATTTAAATAACCCCTCATGTGTATTAATGCAAGTGAGCATTTGTGATGACTCATTTAGACCTAGCTGGTTATATGCTTGTGAAAGATCGAACTTAGTGAAGTATTTAGCACCGTGTAGCTTTGAAATTCGTCGTATCTAGGAAGCAGATGTTTGTCAACATGTAATTGTTTATTTATTTTCACGGAATAATCAGCACAAAGTCGAATGGAGCCGTCGCGTTTTAATACTGCTTTGTACCGCGTACTCGTAATATTTGCCGGGTACGAGTATACCTAAATTCACTAATCTATTTAACTCGTTTTCTATGAGGTTCCGTAAAGCGAACGGTAAAGAAAGAAAGAAAGAAAGAAAATACGTTTATTAGTTTATACATGTATTAGTAGTAACACAACAAAAAAATAAATTACAGATATAACATAGAAGAGAAAAAGAAAGTAAACAATTTGTTCAACTGAGGAATAGAACAAACAATTACAAAAGAATAAAATGATCAGCGTGTGTGACTAAAGAGCCACAACTCAGCCTATGCTATAGTCCCTAAAAGTGACCACAGCGGTGATTTTCAGCTGAAGCCCAAAGGTACCTCACGGACGTGTGCACAGTTCAATTACTATAAACATAAGATGTGATAATTACATACATTAATTACATAACATACATTCTGTTAATATAATAAAGATATCAAATAACTAGTTAGTTGGAAATTGATAGATATAAGAGCAGAGAACAAATTTTTTTATTTATTAAATAATGTTAGCAACATTGCGAGGTCTAATATGTACTGATCTTGCTTTGCAAAATATTGGTTTAGATTCGGGCTTTAAGGTTTCGCTTCTACCCCTTTAAAACAACCTAAGAAGTTAGAAAAAAGTCTAGAAAATTTTAAAATGATCTGTTGTACAACATTATCACATCTGTTTACCGAACAAATTTGCATATTAAAACGAACGGAAAAAAAATCCCTGCCAAGCAGACGAGGCCCGCCGTTTTGTGTCACGTACACGCTTATAGTTTTAAATATGCCATTGTATGTAAATAAAAGTTTTGACTTACGTACAATGTTTAACCTATCACCGCTGTAACTATGCAAGATTACATCACTAGACTCTAATGAACTATGAGAAAAATATTGTTCATACATCCGCTTAGAGAAAACGATTACCGGTGATTCAACAGATTCCGGCATAGGCTCGCCACGCACGGTACGAATATTGCAACATAATGACTTACCATCGTCACCACCATCCTCGCTACACTCGATGAAATGTTGTTTTTTGACAGCTTTCTTACACACGCGTTTTAAGTGACCTTGTAGACCGCACTTTTCACACATATACTGCGCCAATCAACATGACGTCGCTTGATGACCTGTGAAGCCGCAAGCCGTACATCCGTTGTTAATGTGGCCACGTTCTGCGGTTGCTGACCGCGAAGCCACTGTCGAGTTTTGTTGCGGTTGTGGGACAGGTCGGCTCCCATGTGTCCCTGGTGCTCCCGACATGCTCATCTTCATGAGATGTAATGAAGCAGTCGTGGGTTCCACCTGGCGCTGTAACGTTTCCTTAGCTCCCATACCCCTTCTGCAATTTGTATTGCCTTGTTTAAGGTGAGCTCCGATATGTCCTTCGTGAACAGTTTATCTTTTTCGGGCCCTGATTCCATTCATAAAATAAAACTATCCCGTAATAGCTCATCCAGGTATGTAGCTCCAAAACCACAGTACATTGCTAGACCATGAATGCGTGATGCCCACTCCGCCAAGCTTTCATAGTTGTTTTGAGTAGCACTGTGGAACCACAACCTTTCGGTAAATGTACAATTTCTTCGGCGCAAAATGACCGTCCAATAGATTCTTCTATGTAGCATAAAGTACCGACTTCTCGCGGTAAAGCTAGATTTCGAATCAATCTATACGTAGATTCAACACTATTGCTGAGTAAAATAGCCCGAAGTTTGGAACCGGCCTTATCTGTGTCCGCTGTGATATCGTTTGCTACGAACCACTGTTCGAGATTTCTTTATAGATACTCGTAGATACACCACTCTTGCACTTCGTGATTGAATGACGATAAGGTGCCCAAAAAAACGGAAAACTTGACACAAACTCTAAACCAACCCGTCTGGCCAGCGTGGTATAGTAGGCCAAAATCTTCTTTCTAAGGAGAGGCCTATGTCCAGCAGTGGACTATTAAAGGCTGTTGATGTGAAGGTGCCCAAGGTTATTTTCGCCATTTCCAATTTATTCTCGTCGCCACTGTTGTATATACAGTAACCAGGGGTAGAAAAATGACACAACCGGTGCGTACAAGCTCGTATATCAACGTTGAGGGTACGTACCGTGTAGGGTACGTATATATAAATACTCTACACGGTTACTCATTAACAAATATATTTCAAAACGAAGTGTTGGTCCTGTTATCTATTTGACGACAGGTGATGTTTATTTTTCTTTGATTTAGTCAGATGTGATCATAGTAGACTATAGCTGTTGTAAAGGTCCGTGTGGTGACGAAATAAAAATACGGAGTGTCGACACCCCTATTCATCCCGTAAGTGTCGCAAGAGCTGCCTTAAGCAGAGAAAACTCTGCCGAACAACAGCACTGCAAAGAGAAGGAACACTCTAAACAAACCCTATACCAACCAAAGTGGTATAGTAGGCCTAAACTCCAAACCTTCTTTCTAAGGATGGCTCCATGTCCAGCAGTGTTGAACTTTTGTTCGAACGATGAAGACATAAAGGATATGCACGTCACATCAAATCAAATGTTTATTTCAGCAATTACTTTTTTTTTTTAAAGACAACTCTCGCACTTGGAATAGATCTTGTGTCGCGGGGGACTTTACAAACATACATGAAACTGACACAAAGAACACCCAGACTCAGAACAACAATTTGTGGATCACACATAGTGTCGTCCCATGTGGGGTTTGAACCCACAACACTCGGCGTAGTAAAAAGCGGCGTAGCGACCGCTTATACCACTACGCCATCCGTGTAGTCATTGTTTCTCTTGTATTACGGAATACAGCTTTTTCTCTGATAGCATCTTCTAAATGTAATAATTACATAATTATAATAACATTGACAGGTTTACGATATGGTACGCAGAACACAATCGAATTTCGCAGACATATTGGAAGCTATAGAAGGAGACATTTTAGAGCTGAATCTCGGACTTAGTGATAAAGACTACGCCAGAATTACTGACGAGGTAAGGTATTTCTATTTTAATGTGGCTTTCTTTGCTAAGGCCGCCGTCTACAGTATATTAAGTCGTCATATCTACCTGTAACTGAAGTGTAGAGTGCCTTCTCACCAGAACAAAAAAAACGCTGCCGTATTTGTTATTATTGCAGTGTAACCGAGCCAATTTTTAAACCGAAAGAGCTTACCAAAGCTTGGCAGAATTTAAATACATAACTGAAAAAGTCTATTTAATTTTTTTGATATATTTATATTTTACTAAATAAATGAATTTTACCGAACAAGCATATTGTTGGTGACAGTGGCGAGCCTTGTGGAACGCCAACGTTTTCAACCAGATAAGTCATATCTAATGTAGGTTTATCTCTCATTTATGAGAGATTTCTAAACTACGATAATTTTGATACTTTATTTGTGCACCTACCGCATCATATATCTACATCACCTGACTAGGAGAGAATGCCTCATGATAGTAAGTCAGCCTTTGTCACTGGGCATGGCTAACCTGCGTTGACGGCCGACCATGCCAATACCGCCTCTGACAAATAGGGTATGCTCGCCCTATCACCATTTGGAGAGAGTGTGACAGGGACAAGGTCCGCAACCCCATGCGCCGACGATAGGAAGGCCGGCAAGCCAACATCCAGAACACGCCGTAATCCGAGACCCCCATATCTTATTGGCAGAGCTGCCTGGATCCACTGTTGCTCATCAAGGAGACGTTGAGTAGCTCTAGTAGTATTCTTTTGTTCAATTTGTTTATTTGTACGTACAAGACAACACGAACAAATAATCATTGTTTCGTTTATCTCTATAATGTTGTTCATCGTCATGGTTTGGTGAACGTAATAGATGACTCACGGGCGAAATTCGGATTACCCAGCAATAGCCAAATTTGAGATATAGGAATGCGAACCTCATCTGTTCGAACTATTATCTAGATTCCTCAATATCCCTTCCTACAGCGCCCTTGGCTTCGTATCTGTCTTTCCTATAAACAACCATATTTCCTATGGTGGCAAGATAACAGCAATAGTCTTACCGTCTATTACGTATTGTGAGACTAAAATAATTATTTAACCAAATTTTAATTACTTTTAGGTCGATTTCGTTGTTCACATGGCAGCTACAATTCGGTTCGATGGACCATTACGGAATGCCACATTGACCAACGTTCGAGGGGTCAGAGAATGTGTGTCGCTGGTCAAAATGTGTAAAAACCTCAAGTAAGTAACTAGTATGTTACTATAAACCTTAGTGGTTTAACAGAACCAAAAACTTATAATGTTATGTTGTGCCTACATCGTGTGTGTTAAATAAAAAAAATAAAAAAAGTTTAATTATCTGTAACAGAAGATTCTTAACACAGATTACATTTATGAGACCCTACTCGATGCACAAAAAATACTTTGAGACCGTCACCAGTTTGTATGACCATATTTTAGCATACTCGTATTTGGGTGGGATACTAGCTGTGATGCGTTGACAAGGGTTTTGTGTTTTAAGGGTTTTAATATTAATGCCTGTCTGTCTATATGCCTGTCTCTTACTAAGATACTTTGATGTTGAGGAAACACATATTACTTTAAAAAGGCAAATTTCTTTAAGCTTTATTTATTGTTAGCATCCGCAGACTGGACGCCAATATATAATCTTAATCTTGAGTTAAGTTTAAATTACTTTTATAGAACATCTAGCTGACCCGCGCAACTTCGTCTGCGTCTCTCAATAGTAATAAATTTTCTCAGTTTTTGAAACATTCTTCATTGGTGCTCCGCTCCTATTGGTCTTAGCGTGATGATATATAGCCTATAGCCTTCCTCGATAAATGGGCTAACTAACACTGAAAGAATTTTTTAAATCGGACCAGTAGTTCCTGAGATTACCGACATAATAGATGACTGTGTACCCAGAAAAAAGCGAAGTCGTGTAAGCTCGAGATACATTTATCCCGAGTTTTACACTGTTGAAATAATTCGCAACATTCGACTAAAATCCACTCTGCATAAAAAATATAAGGCAAGCCGGGCAAAGACTGATTACGAGGCGTTCGCTCTGTGTAGGGCTAAAGTTAAAAAAATGATTGCACATGCACAGGAACTGTATAGGAACCAGGTTCAAAGCCAATTACAGATAGACCCAAAGTCTTTTTGGAACTATTCTAAATCTAAGAGAGGTGGCAGAGTTCCGAAAAGAATCTTAAAGGATGGGGTGATATTAACCGATGAGCAGTGCGCGACTGAGTTCGCAAAATATTTTCACTCTGTGTATAGTCCTAATCGCCCCGAGTTAGATGTTAGCAAAGCGGTATTGGGTGCGGGCACTGAAAATGGAGCGGCACGGATTCACTTGCAACAATTGCAACTAGGTCAAGTTCAGCAGGCGCTTGCACAACTTAAGCCTAAGAGATCCTGTGGGCCAGATGGTATACCACCTTTCATACTTAGGGACTGTAGGTCAGTACTGGCCGAACCGTTGCTGTACATATTTAACCAATGTCTTCAAACAGCAGTTTTTCCAGATAGATGGAAAACTACTCGTGTAGTACCCGTGCCAAAGGGTGGGATGGGGGGATAAAGTTGACGAGTACCGGCCGATTGCAGTTCTATCGTCGCCGGCGAAGGTGTTAGAGTCTGCTATCTACAAGAGCGTATTTATGCAGGTAAGGTCACAGCTCTCGGACTCTCAACATGGATTCCAGCCAAAGAGGAGCACGACCACCAATCTCCTAAACTATATGAGTCAACTACTGCCTGCGGTGGACAGTGGGGGTCAGGCTGACGCTGCTTACTTTGATTTCAAGAAAGCGTTCGATTTAGTCGATAATGACGTGCTGCTTGAGAAGCTAGCAGGCTTCGGTTTTACTCCCCATTTACTACAGTTCTTCAGCAGTTACATGATGGACCGGGAGCAGTATGTGGACTATGCGGGATACACCTCGCAACCATATTTTACCTGGTCTGGTGTGAGTCAAGGCAGTAATTTGGGACCTCTGCAATTTATATTAATGATAAACGATCTGCCAAAGCGAGTAAAATACGCAAATTGTTTGCTGTTTGCAGATGATCTTAAACTGTCTCTCGCTGTGAACGATGACGATGATTGTAGGCGTCTGCAGCAGGACATAGACAATGTTGTGACTTGGAGCAAGGAAAATCGTTTGCAATTTAACCCCAATAAATGTGTAACCATTACTTTTTCTCGTGCACGTAATCCCAACTTATATTGTTATAATGTTGATGGGGTCTCGATGGTTAGGGTCCAAACAGTTAGGGATCTAGGTATAAGTCTTAACACAGAGCTAACGTTTCGTGACCACATAGTCAAGTGCTGTAAAAAAGCATACAGGAATCTAGGTTTTGTACTGCGCACTGTTCAGTCGTTTACCAACATTAAAGCCATAATTACTCTATACAATGCTTTAGTGCGTAGTCAGCTAGAATACAACGCAGTCATCTGGTCTCCGCATGAGATTAAATAATAGTCTCATGCTGGAGCGAGTCCAAAACAAATTTGTGAGGTTTTTATATTTGCGACTGTACGGGGTTTACCCATTTTACCCACTCATGTATCCGACACTTTTCGTCTTGGGCATGGTCGGATATAACGAGCTTAGAGTCAGAAGGGACCTTAGTCTTGCCTGCTATATATTTAATCTACTAAGGGGAAAAATCCACGACAGCAATATATTAGGATTGGTAGGCATGTGTGTACCGGACGGGTATGTGTGGCGGCGACGCCGTCCGCCATTGTTGGCGGTGCCGCGCGGACGCACTAATTTGCTAAGCGAAGCGCCTCTAACGCGTGCGTTGCGCACCCTAAACCTAGTAGCCACAGATATCGACTTATTTAGCTGTACACTGAGTGAGTTCACAAAGACAGTATTATATATTATATGTTACAAAACAAAAAGTTAGAGGTTATGTAAAACAAGCATTTTTGTAATAGTTACGCTATCGCATTAGGATATACCTGTAATGATAGTAGTAAGTGTGGATACTAAATAAATAAATAAATAAATAAACTTTAACTTGGCGGAGCCAGGGATAAAATCTAGTATAAAATCTTTATAAATTTGTAAGTAGCATTGTCTACATGGTATTATGGTAACATTAAGAATATTCATCATAGGTACTAAATAAATAACAAATTAACAAATAATAGAAATATATGAAGGTGGAGAAAGAGGAGTGGGAGAAAAGTTGTAAAGATATTCTCAAACTTCCATGGGAGTGCTGTGATTCGGCACGTTTGGGCCGTCTGGAGCAGAGTGAAACCAAGGCCTCCTAGAAAACCGATGTTAAGCAATTATTTCGTTGTTTTTCACCGAGTGAGTAACCAGAGCGTCACCAGAGCGCCAACCCCTCCTCCCCCTAACTCTCAAGAGAGGTCACAAATGGCAACAACGCATTTGTGTCTAGTCTACATTTTTGACCCCATACCACCCAAAAAACCTACATAATACATTCACGTTTGTTTTCTTCTCATCCAGGTGTTTCACATATGTGTCAACAGCTTTCACTCATGCAACTCGAGATCGCATCGGAACAGAGTTGAAGGAACAATTTTATCCGTGTCCTGTACCCCCTGATCAGATAATCGAGTTGGCTGAAAATGAATCTAAGACGGTGGAAGACATAACAGAGGAGTAAGTCCAAATGTATTTTTCCCATCACTTTCGAACAGTTTTCTTACCACGTTCTCACAAAAAGCATTAAACAATTTATCATCATCATCAACAGCCTTTAATAGTCTAGTGCTAGATATAGGCTTCTCAATAGAAAGGAGGTTTTGGCCTACTATGCGGCCGGACGGTATAGTTTTTGTCAAGTTTTAATTCCCCTAGCAATGATGTTGTCCTGCGTATTTTGCTCCCTTAGTCGGCTCTTACGACACCCACGAGGTGAATAGCGTTGGTGACACTCCGTATTCTTTATCCGTCACTACGCGGACCATTCTTTTATTAATTAAGCAATTCTTTCATACCTTTTCATCGAGTAAGGTCACCGGCACCTAAACTTGTTGCTCCAGGACTCCAAGGCCAGCGGCCTAGCTGGCTACTTGGGACTATTGAGTTGCAGGCGTCAATGGGCGGCGGTGATCACTTACTACGCCTGGATCCATTTATTCGGTCGCCTTAATGTTGAAAGTGATAACAGAATTGTCTAATCGTGTTTTGTATTTTTCTAGAATAATCAAAGGATGGCCCAACACGTACACCTTCACTAAAGCAATAGCTGAAGAAGTGGTCAGATTGAATTGTGGGGATATACCCGTTTGTGTCGTCAGACCACCAGTTGGTAAATACATATTATTTTTAGTACAAATGTAATGTTTGTTAAACTGAGTGGACCATTTTTTATTCAATAAACCCCACCCCCTGAAATTTTATAGGGTTTTTCTCAGAGAAAATTAGCCTAAGTTACTCCCTATATATACAGCTACTTGGTGGTAAAATATTATTCAAATCGGTCCAGCAGTATTGCAGATTACCCAGAACAAACATACAGACAGACAGAAAGACAGACAGACAAAAAATATTTAAAACGGGTATCGTGCAAATAACCGTGTAAGCATGAAAAACCTATTATTTTGACATTACAAACAGACACTTAAATTTTAATTATTTGTATAGATGTGAGCCAAACCATACCATAACCAAACGTGGTATTTTGAATACCGTCAGAGGTCTGAATGAGTCACATAGATAGGTGCGTTCCCTAATTAGACCCCAAAAATTAATTGTAGCCCTTAGCTAAATTCTATTTAGAGGGGTCTCGAAGAGCCCTAGAAGTGTAGAAACATTACATACTCCTGTCTTCTGCATATTCGGAGATCAAAAAGGATTCTATTCACTTTTTGCCTCGCACATTGAATAAGTTATCGGCTGCGGTATTTCTGGACCGATACGACCTTCAATAAAAGAGCGTACTCCTTGTCAACCTTACAATGACGATATATCCGTAAGTCGTCTGCGAGAGAGATGAAATTGAGAAGATATAACATCAGTGATAGCATTGATGAAAATTGAGAAAAGTAAAGGAGATAGAACGCCACCTTGGGGAACAGCCGCAGTAAGGTCACACCAGTTAGACGAGGACTCACTGGAGCGCACCAGCTGCATGCGGCTCCGAAGATAAAAGCTAAACCATGAGATTACAGAATTAGGGACATTCAGAGAAGAAAGGATACCCAAGAGGATGTCGATATCAACAGAGTTGAAGGCGCTGCTGAAATCTAGTAAGACTGGCCTGAACGAAACCCAGATTGGTATGGACTTAGCAGACCATTGGAGGAAAGATAACTGATCAGTTGACTTCGGACGGTAATCTCAAGTACCTTAGAAAGGATCGGGAGTATCGATATAGGACGGAATTGGAACAGGAATGGAAACAGAGTTTTCTAGAGGGATGAATTGACGATGTGAGTGACATCTGGAAGGAGATCACCCACAATAGGCTGCAACATTTGTAGGTGAATACCATCATCACCTGTTGTCTTCGTGGAGATAGATAAGATCTGTTTCTTCCTGTCACTTTCCGTATTGGGGTTGAATGAAAATGAGGTACATTGTTGCAGAGGAAGACTAGAAAGATGTTTAAGAGTAGAAGTTTTATCAGGAGCACCCACCAAGCTCGGTGGCGTGGAAAAATGCTCATTGAGCACATTGAGATCTATATTAGGTGCGCTGTCGTTGGCAATTTTACCAATGCCAAGGGATTTTATTTTTATTTTTTTATTTAATTCACAGTAGTAACTTAGATCTAAGACTTAAACTTTATACTCGCCAAACGTATGTTTAACGGCGAGACGCGCTCGTTAATCAATTTAGTACACTGTGTGTACATCACATCTATGCTACACTGTGTGTACATCACACATAGCGAAAATTACAAAAAAAAAAGTAACAACTTAACTACTTATAAAAATTAATTAATTAAACTAAACTATGAAAAATAGTATTACATACCTAAGACAACCCCATGAGAACAATTTCTATATCACAATATGCAGTCATAACCGAACCGCTTCAGTAACCTCAAACAGAATATCCTTCAGACTTCTCTTTAATTTCCCGGTACTTATTTAAGGATTTTCCCTTAATAAGTCTATTTTGTTAAATACTTCGGGTACCATGTACATATTTGTTCGTTTTCCATAATAATTTGTGACTTTTGGTTTATTAATTTTTTTTTTCCCTAACCCTTCTAGTGTTATATTTATTCTTAGAAATTGCCATACCTGTGGTGTATTGAAATTTTGTATAGAGTGATGAATGTGGCTCCTTCTAGCATCTTGACAGACGACTATACCGGTTCCGAAGAGATTTGTAGACCGACCAGTTATCTTCAAAGGTTTTTTTCAGTATTTTCGTTTGGCCTTATCCCGTTTGGACGTCTATTGCTTGATTTTCTCGCAAAGCGACGGTGCAGGTGGATGTTTTATTAAATCTTTCTAACTTAGTATATTTTTTTTTTTTACAGTTTTACCAGCATATTATGAACCTTCTCCGGGGTGGTCAGATCTAAGCGCCATATATGGACCTACTGGTGTAAGTATACTAAAACCCAGATAAATTCTTTTGTTAATGCATGCTCGACCGGATTGACAGGACTGCCTCACGGAAAACCGGTGTTGAGTAATACTATCATTGCTTTCACCGAGTAAGTGACACTGTAAGTGGTTACATGAACACAAACCCCTCCTCCTGTCTCTATGCCTCGCTATGGTATGTACCCTATGCCACAAGAAAAATAGAACGTCATGCGAGAATTTATAGAATAGAATAATTTGTTTCGCTCAAATATGTGATATAGTGCAAATTCTACATTGGTTGAAGATGTTACACAAATGCTATGTTCTACGAAATCTTGCAAAAGTAAAGGAGATTTATTATAATTATGCTGGAAATAAACATTTTCAAGTTATGGTCAACCGCAACTATGTCAAAATACAATATCGAATATGTCTCACACATCTCACACACGGCCGTCTGATCCCAAACTAGGCTGAGCCCGTACTATGGTCACCAGACTGCTAATAGATATACTTATATATTTTTAAATAGATACATATTATAGATAAATAAATTAATTAATTAAATTCCCCATTAAAATATTACATTAATTCATTAAAAAGGATAAAATAATAATAAAAATAAAGCATCATGCATTGTTCTATTGATTGATTATTGATATATTCTATATTATTATGCATTGGTAATATTTTTTTAGATAATGATCGGTGTTGGACTCGGCGTTTTACGCGTGTTCCCCGTTGAAATAGACAAAACACTAAATATGGTGCCCGTGGACTATGTAAACAACGCAATCATTGCTGCCACGTGGGACACGTGCGAAAGACGAAAACATGGTGCCCTCAAAGAAATTCCTATATACACTGTTAGTTCTACAAAACGAGGCATTGTGTGGGGTGAGTATTTTGGAACTCAACCTTTAACTTTGATTAGTAAATATGAGTAAATATGAAAGTTGCCTGATAATATAACAACATAACATAACATACGTGACCCACTTGACTTCGTCGGCATATTAAAAAGGAATAAATTTTCTCAATTTTTCCAATATGTTTCATTGATGCTCGGGTCCTATTGGTCGCAGGGTGATGTTATAAAGCCTATATATATTCATTAAGATAAATCTATATTAATAATCCGTGTGGAAACGGATTAAGAATACGGAGTGTCAACATCCCTATTCATCCTGTGGGTGTTTTAAAAGGCGACTAAGGAAGGAAACTCTGCAGGACAACAGCACTGAAAAGAGAAGAAAAACTTGACACAAATCCTATACCAATACGTCTGGCCAGGTCAAAAACTCCTTTGTAAGGAAGGGCTATCAACTAAGTCATCTAACAAGACATCTAAAGGCTGTTGATAATGATGATGATGATTTGTTATCATTTCAATTTCTATTTTCTTTTCTTTCTAGACTTTATTGCCGAAATTATGCGAAGTCAGGACTGCAAAAGGCTTTGTTCCCCACTCGCTGTTTGGTATTGTTATATAATCGAAGTGACAAATCCTGTCTTATACTGGCTGCTGACCGTGATCCTACACTATATACCTGCCTATATGGCGGACATAGTGTGCGCCATTCTCGGCATTAAAATCAAAGAAATTCCTTCGTAAGTATTTGTTTCTTCAACAATCTTCAAATATTTCATTTACAGTTTTTAAATATCGTAAAATTTTGTAATTATGAATTACAAAATTGAGATAAGGAAGAGTTATGCTTGGGCATAAATAGTCTGTCTCAACTGGAGTGATACGGACCTCACAGAAAACGGGTTTTAAGCCGGTGATTGCTTTTCACAAAGTAAGGTTTCCAGAGTTTAAACCCTGTCCCTAATTTAAAGAGCGGCAACGCTAAGTAGCCACTTACCATCAAGTTAACCTGGTCCTGGTCCTGGTCCTGGTCCTTCGCCTCCTATGTCATAATTTTTAACAGAATAATAAACTAAATATTAATAAATTTAACAAATTGACATTCACACAACAAATCACCAAACCTTCCCGTTACGCCTTGTAGAACTCTGGCTCTTTGTAAACTGTTTCCAATCCTGCACGGATGGCGTAGTTGTTTAAGTGGTCACCTCGCCGCTGCCTACTGCCGAGTTGTAGTTCCGAACC